CATTCTAGGGTAACGCGCCTGCGAAGTCCACCCTGACTGGATTAGCCGTGGGCGCACTAGCCCTCCCGTCCGTGTACCTAGGCATAAATCCCTGCCCTAAAATGCTTCATGCATCGGATAGTGTGGACTGCCGCCCATGACAGCTGATGCCCGGATACATTTGTTAGTCTTTAAGGTGCCACAGGACTCTGGGTTTGTTTAAATGAAAAGCGTCTGTGGCTTTAAAAAGCAGCCGCTTTTGCGGAAAAACTTGCCAGCTGTCTACACTGGCCGCTTGAATTTCCGCAAGAACACTGACGATCTCATGTAAGAAATCAGTGCTTCTTGTGGAAATACTATGCTGCTCCCGTTCGGGCAAAAGTCCTTTTGTCCAAAAGCTTTTGTGCAAAAGGGCCAGTGTACACAGCTCAATTTGTTTTGCGCAAAAAAGCCCTGATCGCTGTTTTGCGCAAAAAAGGGTCCGTGCCAATCTAGACGCTCTTTTCTGCAAATGCTTTTAATGGAAAACTTTTCCGTTAAAAGCATTTGCGGAAAATCATGCCAGTCTAGACGTAGCCTGCAAGCAGAGGAAGAGTATGGACATGCTGTTACAGTTCAGAGATTAAAATGTATTTGTCTGAAGGGGAAACGTCCATTAGTTTTGAAGCTTTTAAAAAAAGACGCGAAAAAAGAGCAACTGTTGATATATACTGCTAGGAAACAGAATGCTGTTTGGCGAATCCCATGGGCAAACTGAGTCTTCTTACTGTGATGAATCATGCTTGGTGTCTGGCTTGCTGGGGAGTGGGGAAATAATTTTTTAAACAACTTTTTTTTCCTTTCCAGGCAGTTTAGAGCATGAGAATTAACTGAAGGAGCTTGAGTTCCAGTATGTGGTACATTATGCAGAGCATTCAGAGTAAATACTCTTTGTCAGAGCGATTGATCCGAACTATAACAGCCATAAGATCTTTCCCGCATGACAATGTTGAAGATCTTATAAGCAGGGTATGTAAATGCTGTGTTGCTTTAGTATTGTTTTGAAAGCTTCTGTTTCTGTATCTGTGTACATATGAGATGTGCCAGTGGTTTTTGGATCTCACTGCTGTGTGACCTAGGGCAAGTCACTTTCCCTCTCTGTGCTGCTTTCTCTTCTCATTCTTTGTTTTGTGTATCTAGATTCAAGGCGGAGATTGTCCCACTGTTCAACAGAGCTCTCATTTTGGTTGTGGCCTGCCAGTGTTGCTATAATACACGTAATGTGCAGCTTGATCAGTTGGCTAGGTAGTTACCAAGTCATCCCACTCTGTGGAAATGCTGAAGCTAAGAACTTAACTCTATTATTTCCCTGAATTTTGCGTTTAAGTCGCATAGGACACGTTTAACTCTGCTGCATTGTGTCTAGTACTCAGGACTAGGGATGTGAACGGGTAACCCGTTACCTGGGATTGCTCCAATCCCACAGGGCTGCTGGCTCCCACAGGCTGGGAGTTGGTGGCCTCATGTGGGACCGTAAGCGGCAGCGGGTGGTGGTGGAGGGCTGCCGGCTCATAGCCTACATGGGATCAGAAGCAGCCAAGCAGGAGCAGTTCTCCTCCCCACCTGTCCATTTAATCAGTTAACCAGTTAAATTTAATGTTTAACCGGTTCACTTATTAAATGGGATTTTACATCCTTATTCAGGGCCCCATAATTCTGTAGCAGAGTTTATCCAGATCTTCCACCCTAGAAATCTTCTGTTTTTCTCCCCTCTGAGTACAGCTGCTTCCCCTGGGGCACAGGTACTATGGAGATAGATGCTATAGAAAGATCTGCTTGCAGGAGAATTTGTAAACAAAGGGTTCAGCCAGCCTTTTACAAGTCTTACTTGGTGTGCTAGACAAGGGATTGCAGCAGGGAATTTGCAGCCATGCCATGTTGATAAGAACCCTGGAGTATGCCCTAACCTGTCAGAGAATGCAGCCTTTGGCAGGAGAGAGAAAATGCTTTGTCTTCTGAGCTAGGAGCTACTCTTGCTGCATTTGGTTTCTTTATTGCATGTATCACTGTGCCAGCAGTTAGTTACTGAACACATTCTGTTCTAACCTCTGGTTTCATGCCCCAGGTTGTGCCAGTATAAAGTGTTCTAAAGTTATGATTCAGGCTTCCAAAAATGGAGATTTTTTTTCTAATTAGATTTGTCTTGCCTTGTATTTCTTGAGCCTGAAGGGGTAAGTGCTTTTTTTTTCTAAGGTTTTACTCCACAATAGTGCAGACTAGCAAATAATTACAGGACTCCAGGAGGTGGGGCTTTAAGAAAAACAACAGCTTATTTGAGAACTTGTGATTTAAAAATGAGAGGTGCCAGTGTTGATACTGACATTAAGGGCTGAACATTTTCATGCAGGGTCTCTTCCTTCCAGTGGTGGAAGAAGGAGCAAAAGAAAGTTTGAACATAATCTCTTCATCTACTGGAACTGTCAACAAAGAATAACCTTGAGCATCTATTGCTTCATGGGAGGGACTCTCCGAACAGCAGAGCTACAAAGCTTTAGACTAGATTCAAGCTTTTATTTGATAGACTGGTTTAAAATACAGGACATCGGGCTTGCCATGGAATCTCCTGCTTGGTGTAGGAGTTGCACAGATCTGTCTTTCTCTAACAATCCCTTACCATCTTCATCCCAGTTGCCATAAAATGCTGAGCTTGTCCCACAAGAGTTTGAGCCAACTGTTCAGCCTTTTCTCCTACCCACTAGTATTGCTGGGTTAAATACCAGCATTCTGAAGTTTCTGCCCTCTTGTAAGATAAGCGGGGAAGCGTTCCAGAACCAGTGCGATTGTCGGCTCAATGTGCAAATAACCAATGCAGTATGGTAGGGAGTGCAATTCACTCTGTTGAAAGCAGTAAAAACCTGTGGCTCTTATCCTGTCATTTTGAGGTGCTGAAGAAGTTGGTGTGTGTTGTGGGAGGGAATATAAAGAGCTCTTGGAAAGAAATCGGGAAATGAAGGGGAGAGGAAGGAATATGAGTCAACACTATAATCCATGAGACAGAAGACTTTAGAGGGGGAGCCAAGTTAGTCTGTACCTGGAAAAACTTAAAAAAACAATGCATAGTCTTGCACCTTAGGAACCAACACAACTCTGATCCCAGCTGCGTGGTTTGTTAGTCTCTAAGGTGCTGCGAGACTATTTGTTGTTGTTTAAGTTTTTACAGAAGACTTTGTCAGGCAGCCTCCTGCACACCATTAACAGTAACTTCTCTCCAGCATTGACCCATGGGAACGTTGCCGTTTCTGGCTGCTTGGGACAAGGGGAGAGGAGAAGGAGGCTTTTATCCAGCGCAAGGTGCTTTGAACTGAGAACCTGCATGTTGTTCAAATGCTTCAGTGTCAAACTGATTCTGAAACTTAAATGTAAAATAGGCTCAGCCCTCTACAAAGGGGCAGACTGCGCGTTGGTTCAGATTACTCACACTCTTGTAAATGGCAGAGGGTCCAGATCGGCCTTGACTGATTCCAGCAGCTGCTGAGCTATTTTAACCCGCAGGCACTTTGAGGTTAAGGGAGCCCAGCAAAAGTGCCACAAATCAGCTTGGTGATTAAGGAGGCCCTTTGAAGTGGGCAGACTCTTTGGCTTCATGCAGTGCATTCTCTAGTGGAATAGTCCTTCAACTTCAGCCCCTTAACCTGAGGTTAGCAGGGAGGCATCGGCATTATATGCACCTCTTTGCCAGTCCCAACGTGTGTCTCATGCCCGGATGCTGCTGGGGATTCAGGTGCAGTACTGAAAAGTAGGAGCAGGCCCCGCCCTTCCTTTTTCCAGAGCCCCTTTTAAATGAGCAGAAGGGCCAGACTTTGTATATGGAAGTAGAGCCCCCCCCCATGCAGAAGAGGGATCCAATAATAGAATTTGAGGCGGCAGCTGAACTTGTGATGGGTTAACTAACTTGCTGCCGGTTTTCTCAGCCCCCAGTAAAACGGGCACCAGTGATCCTTGAGTCTGAAGGAAACGTCAGTATGGGTGTATGTTGGGAAGGTGGCTCATATGCCAATTATGACTGAGATGGTGCAGATATGTGATGTTGTGAATGCTGCACGTGACTGGTCAGAGGGGAAATGATAGCAGAGTTCAGCATTAGAACTTCCTGGGGGACTGTATTGGGTGCATAACCGTCCTCAGAGAGTAGTTATTAACGGCTCATGGTCATGCTGGAAGGACATGACAAATGGGGTTCTGCAGGGGTCTGTTTGGGACCGGTTCTGTTCAATATCTTCATCAGTGATTTAGATATTGGCATAGGGAGTATGATTATTAAGTTTGCAGATGATACCACGCTGGAAGGGGTTGCAAGTGCTTTGGCGGCTGGGTCATAATTCAAAATGATCTGGAGAAATGGTCTGAGGTAAACAGGATGAAGTTTAATAAGGATAAATGCAAAGTGCTTCACTTATGAAGAAGAATCCATTTCACACACACAGAATGGGAAGCGACTGTCTAGGAAGGAGCACTGCAGAAAGGGATCTGGGGTTATAGTAAACCACAAGATAAATGAGTCAACAGTGTGATGCTGTTGTAAAAAAAGCAAACATGATTCTGGGCTGTATGATCAGGAGTATTCAGTAAAACACGAGAAGTCATTCTTCCACTCTGCTCTGCACTGATCAGGCCTCATTTGGAGTATTATGTCCAGTTCTGGGCCCCACATTTCAAGAAAGATGTGGAGAAATTGGAGGTGGTCCAGAGAAGAGCAACAAGAATGATGAAAGTTCTGGAGACCTGAGCTGTGAGGGAAGGCTGAAAGAATTGGGCTGGTTTAGTTTAGAAAAGGGAGGACAGAGGGGACAGGGTTGCAATTTTCAAGTTTCTAAAAGGGTGTTACAAGAAGGGAGACAAATTGTTCTCCTTGGCCTCTGAGGACAGGACAAGAAGCAGGGGGCTTAAACTGCAGCAAGGGAGGTTTAGGTTGGACATTAGGAAAATCTTCCTAACTGTCAGGGTGGTTAAACCCTGGAAAAAATTGCCCAGAGTGGTTGTGGAATCTCCATCGCTGGAGATATTTAAGAGCAGGTTGGACAGACACCAGTCAGGGATGGTCTAGACGGCGCTTGGTCCTGCCATGAGGGCAGGGGACTGGACTTGATGACCTCTTGAGGTCCCTTCCCGTTCTAGTGTTCTATAATTCGGGGTAGTGGGATGTGCATTATGTGCCAGCAGTGCTCAGATTGTGGTGTCGGGGCATGAGCACAACACCGATGGCTTCCCAGAAAAGAACTCTCAAGTGCACACTGGGTGTTGAAATGTGTGGATTTATGGAAATGTGAAACTGGTTAAAATCTCAGCGCTTGCACATTTATACGTGGGGGGAGGTGGTTCCACAGGAGCGCCCTCCCACCCCCAGTTCCCTCCTCCCCTTTCTCCCTCTGCACTGTTGCCTCTATCAGAGACAGCAGCAGGTGGGGCGAGGCAGCTCTGCGGGACTGAAGAGGGGCATGGGGGCACGTGTGTATTCAGCACTGGGGAGGGGTCAGGTGCGGTGCATCTGGTAATTGTGATACCAGTGCCTAGCGACCAAGGTTTATTAGGGCCATATATTGCTATAATGTGTTGATCTGAATTTTGTCTTGGTCGTAGTGAGTTCAGGGCAGCTCTTAAGGGGGCCAAGAGAACTCCTCTCCAAAGCTACATGTAGCAACAAAGGTAGTGAATTACAAAGACACTGATAGAAGGAACAAGATTTAGACATGGCCTAGTTGTGTGGATCTAGAGAGTGGTCCGAGTTGCAGATGACACCCAGGTTCTGATACCAAAAAAAAAGAAAAGCTGATATTACAAACGAGTGTCACAGGGTTAGAACACCTATTTAGAAACACCTTATAAGGATCTGTTGATATTGCAAACATCAGTACGTAGCATGCAGTTTGGGAGTCTTTTACAGTGAGTGAGTGAGTGAGAAAATGAGAATAAAAATGGGCTGATCTAGAGGCATTCACTCATCCTGTTGCTTTCCCCTGTGTTTCTCAGGGAGCTGATGTTAACTGTATGCACGGCATTTTGAAGCCATTACATTGTGCTTGTATGGTTGCTGATGCGGACTGCGTTGAACTACTGCTGCAAAAAGGAGCGGAGGTAAAAGGGTTTTAAAAAATGTTCCTTTAAATTGGATACAAGAGAACCATTCAGCTGGGAGCTGATGCAGGCACAGTAAAGACCTTTTCTAGTTTGAAAGAAAATTAGCTTGCAACCTACCTATTAAATACCTAAAAACACCTTCAAACCTTTGGTCTTGGCATGCATCTGGTTCTCAGTGACTCATAGTTACTTGAAAGGACGTATGTTAGCTGTGAAGGGTTAAAGTTGTGTATATATACAGCATGTGGCTGTATCTCAGTGACTTGCTTACCGGCATCTGCCTTCAGTCATAGTCTGGCAGATAAGCACGTACGGAGCTGCACAGCGGATGTTAGGCAATTTGGGATGTGTTTCCTTACCTTTTTGGGAGTGTGTGTATACAGTGGTGCTCCTCACACATACTTCCATTTGGAGAGGAAAGGTGGCATATGCCCAGGATTGGGTGTGTGAGGACCTACGTTATGTTACTGACTTTAGCACAAGCTTTCTTCATGATCTTGGGCAAGTCGCACACACGTACGTGCCCCCAGGGCCTGTTTTCTTTTCTGCAATATGTTAAGAGTGTTGCAGTGCAGAGCAAATGCTGCTAACACTGATAAAACTCCCATCCCTGGGAGCAGGGTAGATTCTGCAAATTCCACCAGAGATTTTTCTCTTGTTAATCTTTCTGAGATCTGTGAATGCATAATGCCCATCTCCTGCGAATCCATCCCTTTCTCTCTGCAGGTCAACGCCCTGGATGGGTACAACCGAACTGCCCTTCATTATGCTGCAGAAAAAGATGAGACCTGTGTTGAGATCCTGTTAGAATACGGCGCAAACCCCAGTGCACTGGATGGGAACAAGGACACGCCCCTCCACTGGGCTGCCTTTAAAAACAACGCGGAGTGTGTCCGAACGCTTTTGGAGAATGGCGCCTGGGTTAATGCTCGGGATTATAACGACGACACCCCCCTGAGCTGGGCCGCCATGAAGGGAAACCTGGAGAGTGTGAGCATACTCCTGGATTTCGGCGCGGAGGTCCAAGTGGTTAATTTGAAAGGCCAGACGCCGATATCGAGGCTGGTTGCGTTGCTGGTCAGAGGACTTGGTACTGAGCGAGAAGATTCTTGCTTTGATCTTCTTCACAGAGCAATTGGACACTTTGATTTAAGAAAAAATGGTGATATGCCGCGAGAGGTAATGAGAGATCAGCAGCTGTGCGAGAAACTTACCCTGCTCTGCTCTGCCCCGGGCACCTTGAAGACGCTGTCTCGCTACGCCCTGCGGCGTAGCCTGGGGGTCCGGTTCCTGCCAGCTGCAGTGAAGGAGCTGCCGTTGCCTGAGTCCCTGAAAGACTATCTCTTGCTCCTTAGATAAGCGAGAGGTCACTTCTAGGGAACTCTGCGCTTGGGTCACTGCCCCGTTGCTTGTGCTTTATGGGGATGCCAGTAACATAGCTAGTATTGTGGCTTGACCCGGGACATCACAGACACGGGTCCCCTCCTCCTCACGCTGATGACAAGTTGCAACCCAGGATTACTCCAGGCTCTGGGGCTCCCTCTCCTGCCACACTCAGAGCACCCTGCAGTATGGTGACAGCCATGGTGACTCAAAAGATGGGAGGAAAACACTTGTGCTGTTTCTTCCTGCACAGGCCTCTCCTCCTCCACCCTGAGGAGTTCAGCACCAAGCCTGCAGCTGTCTCCCAAGACATAGCTGAACAGAATCCATCACCTGCCCTGCCACTGGGAGACGCATCATCTTCCTGCCTTCCGGAGACGAGGTGGGCTGTAGCAAGAGGGACACGCTGGGATTAGGTGTGGAGATCAGGAAAGGGGGGAGGGGTCTGCTGCTGTTGGAAGGAATTACGCTGTGGAGGATCCCGGATGGTTGCCCTCGCCTGTTGGAGTGAGTGAGCTGGTACCAGTTGGCTTCTGTGCTGTCTGGAGTGTGTCTCCCGGGTGGCAACCAGGACTCCTGCTTGCAGAATTGTTCGTGTTAGCGAGCGCTCCTGCCCCCAGCGCACACAGACCTTGGAAGCAGAGCTGCTTCCCCCAGGGTGTCTGCTGCTCATTCGTGCTCTCCACTCTGCACCTCCTGTGGCAAAGCTGTGCCACGCTAGCATAGGGCCCAGCTGTGGAAAGACGGATCGGAGCAGAGATGGGTAACTGTAGGGAAGGGCAGCCCTTACGCTGTGTGGCAAGACACAGGGTTTTCCTTTACCGCACACTAGGGCGTTTCCCCTACCCTCGATCCTAAGATGCATCAGCTCTTAGCGGTGGGGGAAGATGTTTTCAGTGTGTTCCTAGCAACACAACTAGCATGAGAGCCGGCTGGTGGGGGCTGGGGGAAGCCATTGGTGCCCCGTAGTAACAGCATGAGGGACCTCCTGGCTCGCCGCTGCTGCACAGTCATCAAGCAGGGGGTAGAGCGCCATGCAGCTGCTGGGATCTGCCAGCGCTTTCCAGAGTCACTGAACCACATTGGCTCTGGCTGACTCCAGTGGAGATGGCACTTGCCCAGGGCTGTAGTAATGGTGGCTATTAAGCAGAGCTGGGGGGGTAATAAAGTAATGGGAGTCTTAACAATGGGGTGCCCCCCCTCCAAAATTCAATCAGTGACCACCCCTTGTGTAATGAACAGCCCCTCTCAAAATCCTGCGCTTCGAATGGTTCGCATCCTCTGCTGAAAGAACTAGATGCCAAAGTGCAGTGCCAGCCCGGAGAGCTCGCTCTGCCGCGAACAGGCGTTTTGCATCTCCTGAGCATTGATGGTTCCCTGCGCTACTGCCCTTCAGCCCTGCCTGGGGTGATGGACTCTGGAGGGATTCACAGCTTGGAGCCCTAGGCCGCGGGGTTCTGTGACAGTCGCTCACATGTTTGAGTGTTGGTTGAAGTCTGACACCTGGTTTTGCATTATTCCACATGCCATGTCTCTGAATCTTTCGAAGGCAGCACGTAGCACTTCTGCTGGGGAGAACTGATCAGCAATTACAGTCTTATTAAAAATAGGATCAGGGAATGCCCCCCTGGAACCAGTGTGACACCATCCAGCTAGGGAGGATGTTCCAAAACAGGAAACCAAGCTGCTGAAAAGATTTTCTCTCTCTCTCTCAAACTCTGCCCGGGATAGGGGAACCCTCCCCCACGGCTGGTTTCTTTAGTCCCACGGCTGGTTTCTCTAGTGCCACGGCGCGGTGCTGTCTGTATTTTATATTTACCAAAAATAAACCACTCCAGACCAGCTGTAAGCACTGCACCGAATAGTCCTGAGA